CCAAGTCTTTTGATGTGGTGTTGATGGATATTCAGGTATGTTGAAAACGCTCCTCCGATCATCTCCACCCTCACTAATCTTCCCTAGATGCCGATCTTGGATGGAATGAAAGCCACCCGCGCGATTCGCGAATTTGAATCCAAGACACCCAAGGAAGCGCTATCCGAAAAAGCTATACACAATAATCGAGTACCTATCTTTGCAGTCTCCGCATCTTTAGTTGAAAAGGACCGCGACAGCTACGTCGATACCGGATTTGATGGCTGGGTTATGAAACCTATCAATTTTGCTCGTTTGAACGTTCTATTGAGCGGTCTCTGCGATCTGTCTGCCCGACAAGCAGCCACATACACCCCTGACAGGGAATGGGAGAACGGTGGATGGTTCGACAGCAAGTAACAAATATTTGATCGTTGACAACCCAAGACAGCCATTCTTGCATGCGCGGGTGTTCCGTCTCCATTCTCACACTTTCCTGTCATACTCTTGCGCCCTACCTACCCCTCATTCTACGCCTCTATTCTCCCTCATTTGATGAAATTTGACCTATCCTCATTCCCGAGGGAAGGTACACACACAAAACTATACGACGGCAATCCTTTTTGCCCCTGAAGACACATCTCTTGAACCATCGTGATGTATTTGATGATTTTCTTCTGTCTATGTGGTATGTGTTCATGTATTTGCATATACAGGCCCCGGTATACGAAACGGGCCTGTGGGTTTTTCTTTCGGCGTTCCTTGTGACTTCTATCAGGAAAATATACGGATACCCTATACATTTCACATGCATGTTTGTATTTATTTTCATGCATTTTTCGTTTTTTTTTTTCTCATTTTCTTCTTTGCGCTCTTCCACCCATGTACTGCTCATCTTAATGTCGTGACCACATGTCATCAAAGGGCCAGTTGAGTTGAGTTGTCGGGCTGCGTCGGTGCTAGCCATGGGGGAAACGCCGTCGAGGCGTAACACTCCTCTGTCTCAGGTCCCCATGTGTCGAATCCTCCGGCATCGTCTAAAGAAGCTGGGAAGTTGTTCATTTTCAATCCCAAATCAGCAGAAGTGTTTCGAACTGCACATTATACAAAGCGCTTGCTAGGCCTTCATGGATGAACCCGAGGCTAACTTTTAATCACTCAAAATCAAGCTTACTCAATTCTCCCGTCCGCTATTGTATCGCCAACCACCTTTGCCGCCAGAGTGCCGATGCTCATAAACGAGTTCAAAGGACCCACCAAACCAGTCTTGAATCCAAGAGCGGAGTGAAACTAAGCGGGAAATTCCGTTGCAATCAAACTGTCAACGCCGTGCTCTGACATAGCCTGACTTGCATTGAACGCCGGCGCGTCCATCAGAACTATCGTCTCTACCGTGTTCCAGATGATCGCTGTAACAAGATATAAAGTACTCCCACGACGCTGAAGTTGCTTAACAACAGCACGAGACTGACCCGACCCTCTCAACCCATCAACAATGGCATATCATGCCTCCGGGTCAAAGGTGACTGTTGGTGCTGCTGGCACTATCCGCACGAGTGAGTCGTGATCTTGGAACCTCACTACCAGCTTACTGATGTACGTGCCATTGGAGAAGCTGACAGGTGTCTAATGCAGCTGAGAGATTTTCGAGATGACGACAGGGCGGATGGGGCTAATTAAACCAGCACGGTAGTAAAAATCCACAGCTTGCATAAGCTGCAAGCATAGCTTTGCGTCATGCTCGATCACACCCCGGTGCAGGCGCGTCAACTGCTCGAATTTGTATACACATGTTACCACAGGCACGGTGCCAATGTCAATGTAGTCGTCACCAGATTATGTCTTCTGCGTGAGCGCGGTAGCCTCGCAAGCATAGCTGCCAAAGTGAACCTTGCCCGGGCCATAAACCAAGTCACCCACAGCAGCGGGCGTACTTTACCTATTACGTTTTCTACGAGTTAACGTCTCATGGTTGTTGATAACAACTAGTGCTGCAATAGTTTGCTGGGTCTAGAATGGGTGCTCGAGTAATGACCTCTGGCAGGGGAAGCGAGCTTGTCATGGGGCTCAAACTGCGCGGGCCAGTGCTGTCTGAATTTCTCTACATTTGTCTCAGTTACACATGAAGGTCGGTGGCAGCCATGACTGGGGTAGTACCGTTTCACATAGGGAATTCCGGGGACAAAGTTCGCAGCTTAGCTCCGGTTTAGCGCTCCGCAAAGCCCATAAATTGGGGCCCAAGGCCCAAATGGCAGTGGATTATGGGCTATGATGGGGTCTTAGCGCTTACAAACCGGCGTCATGTAATCGCTGTATTCTAGCCTTCTGCTGATTGTATAGAGTTCAAATCTGGAATATAGAGTAAAATATGAAGTTTTGATACTAGATATACAAGAAAGTCGGCCGCGTTTGCGGCCTTATAACATCTGTTTAGTCTTTTCAGATATCTTTCTAGATGGTCTTTCTAGGTGGTATTCTTTGATAGATATTTGCCCTTCTAAATAGGCGATAGAAGAAGGTAGAGAAAGGATTAATTTATGAAACAGACTTTTCTATATATAACATTTAATATTTAGGATTCATTTAGGAGTACTCCGTACGGAGTAAGCGACATACCGCCTTTATATAGAGGTACAAAATTCCGCCCAATACTTCAGAGGTCCCACTATACTACCACTTTCTAAGTGAACCTCGGTAATTTAAAACTTAATCTAAATCACGCATTTCCTCGTGTTTTTAAACGTAACATATGAATTAAACTGATAATAAAATATTACCCTAACATAAGGGCTAGAAATGGGGTCTAAACGTAGGGTAATTAAAAAAAGTCACGTTTTTCGGAATGTTTGTATTGTTTGGTGGTAATTGGGCCCAAAGCCCAGCCCATTTGGGGGCTAGGTTGGGCTGTGGGCTGTGGGCTGTGGGCTTTGTGGGCTTTGCGGAGCTCTCTCCAGTTGCAGCTTCACAGCCACGGACGTGAATTACTCCTCAACATCAAAGACCTCCAATATATCAGCTAGAATCTGGGTCACAAGGCACTCAATGAGACTCGGAGGAACGAACTTACTAATCCCTTCACGCGGATTATTCAAGCCTAATTTCCGCAGCCTGACCAACCGGCAAGCAAGAAGACCAAGCCGCATGATTGTGTCTAGAGATGCGGGGTGAATTCACTAGAAGGCCCTGCCACATTTGATAGGTCCTACTATAGTCTTCAAGTCTAGCTTTGTGGAGGACACATTTCTAGCACGGTGTGCGCTTATATCCGAGAGAGCCTGGAACATAGCCCCGTAGCCCAGGCCATGGCTACATATGTATGATGTGCGAATGTTTGTACCCATGTCCCTCTCGGCCCTTCACGGAGACCGAGACCCGAAGCGCAGCGTAGAGAACATCTCGAATAATTGACAATTAGCCCTTCAGGTCTACTTAGGTGGTGTCTTGTAAAATAAAACTAAATCTCTCTCACGTAACTGAATCACCAAAAGGTTGAGGGTATTCAGCGAAATGGTATCTAATCGAAACGTTACCTCCATGTCGTACATTCCAAAGGGAGATTACACACACACACATATCCAGACCGCTGGTCGATTTTTTGACAGGGGTTTGACGGGGTGCGTCGGACTGTAGGATCTCACAATTTTAAGAACCCTGCTTGATTCTAGCCACACTCCCTACATGGACGACTTTTGCTCGATTGAGTAGACATTGTTAGAGCTTGCAATACCATTGATGTACCCAAAAAAAATCTTCGATGTAGGAAACCCCTTCTAAAGAATATGTGATAGCGTCTGTCAACAAGTGGAGATTTCTCAGTTATTCATATGATATTGGTGCTGGGATAGGCTGGAAATCGATGCAGTGGGGTTGGAAATCTACGGGTGACTATTGGAACCACCGATACATAACTCTCTCATTGGTTAATATTGCTAGGCAGTAATTTAGATTCACTCTCACTTTCTAAGTACTGTGTTCAAAGTGTATGTAGTATGCAGTCTTTTTATCTCTCTAATAAATGTATCAATCTACCTACCATTTGTATACTCTCTGAGTGTATTTAATTTGATACCTGGCAAGAGCATGCTTCGTATGTAAATTGAAGTATATCAAATACTGGATCTGTTTCAATACGTCTCCATATTATGACAGGTATAACAGCAATGGCATTTATATCGTATAGAGTATTGTATCTAAAATTAGAAGATATACCGGTTTAGAAAAGAGAGATGATCTTACATATATCCAATAGTTGCCCGTAAAATCAGCGATTCACTTTGAAGCCGGCAGCGGAGAACTACTTTGTATGCACTTTGTATGTAGGTGGTCATCCCCCATGCCGATCACTGCCCTCGGTGATAGTTAAAACAAGCCCCGAAGGCCCCTTGTACTGCAATAATTGTCGGACTTCGGGCTGCAAACCACCGGAGTGATCTCACTGTGCGTGTAACAAGGGAAGCCATCCCCACGAATTGCATTGTTGCTGAATATAAATACCATGTCGATCTGGCAATGAGAAGAGATAGACACAAGTGACATATTCAACAAATCACGACTATGGAGTCTCTCAACCATCTTCCTACAATTTTAGGTTGCTTTCTTGGAGTATTGTGTCTCGTAAGATGGTTGATTATCGGAGAGCTTTTACGCTCTCAAGGCTGATTTTCGTGTAGCACTTCATTTATACCCGTCTGTCTAGTCCGCTCGCGCGGATTCCCGGTCCGACAATCTCTAAATGGACCGAGGTTGTTTACATACGATATTGGTTCGCCGGGAAGGTTCCATACTATGTTCATGATCTGCATGAGAGATATGGTAAGAGCCTTAATGATCCAATTTGAACCCGATGGAATGGGCTTCGACCCTTAGGAATAGAGTGCTGACATGTGCAATATCAAGGTCCCATCGTTCGAACTGGCCCAAATAGGGTTGATATTTGCGATGTCGATGCTGTGAAAGAAATACACAAGACTAACTCGCGCTTCCTCAAGTCCTCTTGGTATCGCACGCTCCTACCAGATGGCATGGAAAACCTCTTCTCGACCACCGATCGGCATTTCCATTCTACCCGCCGTCGTCTACTAGCATCGCCAATCTCTGACACTTCACTGCATCAGCATGAAGATTTGATTACTGGTAGGGTGAAAATGGCAGTCTGGAGAATGGCAGAAGAGACACAGACCCGTGGCGCCACCGACGTATTTAAATGGTGGCTGTTCATGGCCACCGACATTATTGGAGAACTCAGCTTTGGAGAATCGTTCCAGATGCTAGAATTTGGCGAGGCAAGTGATATATGGATAAAAAAGTCCAAAACTCCACAGCCAATTCTAATAGTACACAGAAAACTCAATACTCCTTAGATCTGGAACAGGTCTCAACCTTCCAACCGATTCGAACAACATTCCCCAACCTGCTCCACTTAGGAAAATATCTACCTCTACCAGTCTTCAAGCGCAGTATAGCAGTTGGGAAGCGAATGGGCATGTATGGAAGCCAGTCCATCGACCGATATAAGAAAATGATCACCGAAAACCCCTCCAACCCGAAAAAGACGCTATTTACCAAGCTATTTGACACTGAGAAAGACGGCCTTGCTCATGAAGAGATCAAGAAAGAAGCTCAGGGTTACATCGTTGCGGGAAGTGATACTACTGCCGTTACTTTGACTTACCTTGTTTATGCTGTCTGTGGAAACAGCCGAATTCGAGATAAGCTGGTCGCCGAGGTGGCAACATTATCTGAACCGATTCATGACAATGACCTTCGGAATCTGCCTTATTTGAACATGGTTATCACCGAGACCCTTCGCCTTTACACGGCTGTTCCTTTTGGTCTCCCCCGTGCTGTGCCTTCGGAAGGGGCCAATTTCAATGGATACTTTCTCCCAAGTGGAGCGACAGTGTCGACTCAGTCTTATAGTCTGCACCGGGACCCTACAATATTCCCCGACCCATATACGTAAGAAGTATATCCTCTACAGGAAGAGGAACACTAACAGAATGCAGGTTCAACCCTGAGAGATGGGAGAATCCGACCAAGGAAATGAAGGATATTTCCATTCCATTTGGTGGTGGATCGCGCAGTAAGTCAAAAGCAAGCTTCATAACCTCGGGAATCTCATCAGCTGACACCATCAACAGTCTGTATCGGATTGCACCTGGCCCGCATCGAACTTCGCTTAGCATCAGTCCTATTTTTCCGAGAATTCCCAAATGCTCAACGATCCGAAAAAGAGGGAATGAGCGAAAAAGACATGGAAATGCAGTCCTTCTTCTTGATGGCACCAAAAGGACACCGCTGTCTGATTGAAACGAAGTGACCTAGTCCTTTTAAGTTGCCCAATGATCTTACTCGGTGACCACTATCTACCTATGAACTAAGAACGAGGCCGAGGGTGTTCCAAAGCTTCCCATCACCCAGGTAATTACTTAAATCATAGTAGGCGGTAATTGCACTTTTCCATCTTAAAATTATATGGTTTTATTCCATGTGACGAGATTCAGAAAGATGCGAGAATGAAATGAAGAAATTTTTAAGATGTAAAACCACTTGGCAGTGAAGTGGCCGTACATGTAGCCCCAGACTAGATTGGTGACCGTCGCACTTAACAGAAATGTGACACTCAACCACGGCAGCTTTTCAATGCCACCGAGCTCCGACACGATGACAGGCTGAAGATCAGCCATCACTATCGCATCGAGAGCATATAGGAAGGTGGAAGCCAATATGTAGACCGATGTCAAATGCCACTTCCAGCCATTGATGTCTCGCGGCAGTTCCTCGGGCACAGTCATAGCGAGGGCAGCTCCAGAGACTTCGTTCTTTGGATCGTCGTTCGAGTCGTCCGTTGGGCTGGTTGAGGTGTCGTAGTAGTGTTTCTCTTCGACCGGGTTGCTGATGGCGCTTTCTTACTTGTCAAGCGCAGTCATATCCGCAATTCTGATGTGACTCTTGTGAGTATAAATATGCCAAAGAGACACAATGGGAGAACGACCCGTTCGTTTCTTTGGAGCAAGTTGTATACTGTGGGATAGGATAGAGGTAAAAGGAGGTAAGAAGATGGGGATAAGTGCAATCTTCATTCTGACGCTGGCTTAAGCGTAGAAATATGATGTCAGGTAAGTAAACACGTTGTAGGGATAGATATAGTTTCACTGATTGGAAAGACCCTTTGATTTGTCAAGCATGTACTGATTCTGCTCACAAACGAGCCTCCAATGCAAAATTTCGTTCGATTTATGGTAGCCACAGTTTGAAGCACCTTAGATTTACCATGTTCTACTCAAATTACTATAGACCGAGGTATAGAGCTGCCCAGGTGAGATCTAGCCCAGTTTGTCAAGCGGCATTTAATCGGCCGTGCTGAATCACAAATTGATCTTCGGTTAGTCCATTTATAAAGAAGAATAGTAATTCATTCCTAAATATGTGCAGATCAAGCTATGTACATGCAAAGGGCATTATAGGACGCCGGCGTCCTATAATGGTAGACGATCAAGTTCACCATCGCCCTCATTTTCATCTTTATGGGACACCAATTGATAAATGCCACTGGAGCCGAATTCCTGGCGAATTCGACGGCGAATAGCAAAGTAGACACCACAAATGAGACAGGAAAGCACCACAAACACAATGGCCCCCAGGGCCCATGGGCTGATATGGGGAGAGTCTTCGTCTGATGACGCTGGTAGTCGCTGGAGTAGTTCCGTCACACCGAGACTCTCTCCGTTTGAGGTCATTGCACGCAGGCGGAAGAATGAATCAACCGTGGAGGTCAGTGGGATTTCAGTTTCGAACCCCTCGCGAGGGACCTGGTCGACAGCCGTGAATGTCATATTTCTGAGGTCTTCACCATCCCATGCCTCAACCCGCCATTCGGCTACCTCGGTGGCACCGTTCCAACTAACAAAGACACTCTCTGGTGTGATAGCAGTGTCAGGGATCGTTAGAGGATTACCAACCCAGTTGAACTTGAACACTCGGTAGGAGACGACACGACCAAATGTGAAGAAGGCAGAGGCACCAAAGTGCACATCGCATACAACATCGCCATTTGGGGAGAACTCGGTGAAGGCTGCAGAGTGGCCCCAACCCACGAGCACGTTCCCTGTATCGAGTACTTGAATATTCCCTTGAGAAACAGCCATTATGTCGTGCGGATGATGGAAGGATTGCAGTAGTTTTGCCTGCTGTTCTTCCGTATCCAGATCAACAATCATCCCATGACTCACCGCGGAGAGGTTGTCGTTATTGTAGGCTGCGTTGTTGAACAAGCTGAGGCGGTTGAGTCCTTGCCAGCGAGCGTCATGCTGCCATGAGAAGTCGGTGGCAGCTCCATCCGAAGCATCAGTAAAATCGTTCCGTTTCCCTCCTAGTGACCAGAGGACATCACCAGTGGTTCCATCTATGCATGCAACAGTATGGAGGTGGCGCATCGAAACCAGGTACCGACCCTGATCATCCTTGTCTACACTGTTGATGTGCGAGTGGTCATACCCCGAGGTCCGTCCCTGACCGGCATCTCCAATCGGATAATAACTATCACTCGGGTGGTAGAAATCAGATACGCGCCACTGGAATAGGAGTTCTCCGGTTTCGAGGTTGATTTCCTGGAACATCCCATCATACATCCATCCCAGCTCCGGACCACCGATAGAGCTCAAATCCATGGGGATAGGGTCGTAAATCATCAAAATTGCGGTATCGTTGGAAGTGATTTGAAAGTCATGCAGGTCACCGTCATATATACCGATTGGGGACACCACGTACTTCTGGGTATATGTTGAATCAAGCTGTCGTTGGGAAAGGGAATTAGAGAGCCTTAATTGTGACGAGCCAAGGCCAATATATAACCTACCATGTACCATGACCCTCGTCCATAACCGTCGGCGGTGTCTCCTTGCCAATAAGTGAGGTAGTCTTCACCTTTATAGCGCTGCAATTTGAAGTCTTGTGTTGTACCCCCGTTCCATTTCGTCCACACAAGTTCTCCAGCGGAATTCAGGATCATTGGACCGGGATGGGCAATTGAATCCCCCCGAGGCGCAAGGAATGTATATCGGGAATCGCATTCTGCATTAGGCGGGGTGGTTTCGACGATGGGTGACTCTTGATCGAAGGAGATATAGTTTCGATCTGGACCGAACCCTTGAACTCCCAGATCATACCAGCTTAAGCCGGCGCGGAACCGGAATCTGAGAAGTTGTGGGACAGCGAACACATAGAATACACCGAGGCCTCCAATGGCGGCGAGAATCAGAGCAAGCCATCGGAGGGGAAAGCGGATGTGCAGACCATCATTCCGAAGCCAGGAGCTCAGGCGAAGCACACCAGAAGAAGTCCGCAAGAACATTGGCGCATCGCCGACGAAACACAGGATTCGAGCAGAGAGACAGTAGAGGCTTTTTGCATCGGAGGCAGAGGCTGCGACAACATGGTTTTATTCCACATCCTGCTTTAACGTCGATTCCCCGACTGTCTGAGAGACTTCTTGGTAGGAGGAACCACTCGGGCTTGGCGACACGGACAGTGGAACTGAGTTTGTACGCGTATGGTGATTCGGTAGCTGACGGATTTTCATAGAAATATCATGGTCTGCCAAGCTCCCCGTGGGTCAAAATTCCTTCGAGAATTGCGCGTCTGCGCCAACCAGCGATGAGAACATCTACCGTAACTCCGTAACCCGTCAGCAATTGCCTAGTGGCTGGAATGACCCATCAAACATCCACTGAGTACAAAGTAGAAGAGCTCTCGGATCTCCTCGAAGCGAACTGCAATGTCACCAGCCCCACGCGTCGTCATCGAAGTGTTCGGGGGAGGTGTGGCGTGGGTGGCAGTTCCACTCAATCTTGAGATCCGATAAGAGCATTCGATGTTTCCTTTTAACATATTTGTTTTAGTATATTGTATATAAAGAGAAGAATTCATCAGCAATATACTCTATATCCATGTTGTAGTTCAATCAGTCTACCGTCCTTTTGTCGTTTTTCTTTTTTTTTTGTGGCGGAGATCGGTCTTAATGTCTCGATTCGGCTTAGTCTCAAGGACAAGGGGGATATTACACAGGGGAATATTCATCCGAAAGGAGGTTAGAATATATGCCATACGTATGTTGTATGTTTAAAAAAAATGACACACGCAATGCAATTGATTCTCCGTGTCTTGACACCAAGACATTGTGGAGTGTTCGTCATTCACTCGATGATCCACGCGTGGAACGCGTGGAAAACGCGTGAGTATGTACGGAGTACAGGGGCTTATCTTTAAACCTTAGAGTTGGAATAAGAACGGGTTCAAAAATGGGTAGACCAATAACCTTCACTTCTCACTAGCGAGGACATGGTGGCTTAGGATAGAACATCATCTTCCTAGATATATGCGGCCATATCTCTACATATGTTGCAACCAAAGGAGCGTAATCCTGTCACCGTCAGGTGACTAGTCACCTGACCGTCACCCCTGTAGCTCCGGCCCGTAGCTAGTATAATAAGGATCATCTTTACCTTCCCCTAAGTTTCCACGCTTACAGCTGGTAGCACGTCCTGGCTTGGCCAGTGTCTGAATTCTGACGAAGGAACCCTCGTCAGAGAAAAATTTTCATTATATAGGCCTTAGGTGCTTCGCCCTTAGCCTGTTAGGGGTGGTCTGCGTCCGTTCGTTCGGTACGCTACCCCGCGGTTTGGTATCTATCTTCGACGACTTTATATCTAAGTCGGCGACGAACAGACAACCTACGTATATATACGATAGTAATAGATACTCCTTGCCTACAGCCTTTTATTATTCGATAGGCCCCCTAGCTAGTTACGTAACTAGGACTTAGGGAGTAGTAGTACTAATTAGTAACGTTATCCTTATATACTCTAGTTATATTAATATTACTTATATCGGAGGAACTAACTAATTATATACTATAAAGGTTGATTTTAACTATATATTAATTATATTACTATTATATAACTAAGTCTAACCTATACCTAGATATCTTTAACCCCTTATTAAAGGTATAAATCTATTTCTTTATTAATTAATACTACTAACTATACCTACCTATAGGAATATTAGGGCTTTACTACCTAGCTAACTAGGCCTTAGAGTCTAGATATATATTAAAGAAAGTAGTATATAACTTTATATAGTAGGCTATTAAGCTTTTAAAGAGGATTTCGCTTAATAGCTTTCTTAACTCTTTAGAGCTAATATTATTAAAGTAACTACTATTAGCTAAAGACCTATAGCTATCTTAACTATTAGTTTTAATAAAGAGATTAGGTACCCTATAGTTTACTTAGATAATATTAATAGCTTAGGAACCCCTATATAGACCTGGCAGTGACCCTCCATTTGGACCCGCCAAGACGCTAAGGAGGGTCCAAAGTCCGGATTCTANAGTCCGGATTCTGGACCCGCCAAGGAAATTATGCATGCATAACCTATCCTAATTAGGAAATAATATGCTTATAAACCATGATTTATATATATTTATGTCAAAATTTAGGTCTTGGCGGGTCGCTGGACCCTCGGAGGGTCCAAGGTCATGGACCACCCGGAGGGTCACTGCCAGGTCTACCCCTATAACTAACCCTACTACTACTTATAGCTAAGGCTTTAGTATATCTCTACCTAAGAATAAACTATAACTTTATTTTTAATAGTCTAAGGCTATCTTTTATAGGATATTATAAATATAATTAAGACTATCTATTATCTCTATTATAAGGGGTCCTTAATAATAATTTCCTAATTACTAAGGATACTATTTAATAGCTAATAATATAGATTATAGAAGACCTAGTAAGGGTATTCTAAGAGAGCTATAGCCTATATAAAGATAATATAAATATAATATTATTATAATAGACTACTTAAAGGCTTATAGGGCTTTAACTATAACTATTAGTAATAATCTCCCTTTACCTAATAGTAAAAGATATTATTAATATAATACTAAGTAAAATATTAGTTATAAAGGTCTACCTTCCTTACTCTACCCCTAACTCTTACTAGCTATATAATATAGTATAATATTATATCTCCCTATAATAACTAGTAGATATTATAGCTACTATAGTAATACTATATAGATCTATAATATATAATAATAATAGCCTATTAAGTAATAGTTTCTTAAATATTATTATAATAGGTATAAGTATAGTAAATACTTAGCTATTATAGCTAGTAGTATAATACTTATAACCTTAAACTATTATACTATTATTTACTAACCCTACTCTATCTAATCTATAGCTATCTACTTTCTCTATTATATAACTTTAATAAATTATAATAATAGTTATAGTAATAAATAATAATTAATCCTTATAAAGCTTACCTAGTCTACCTAGATATAATAGTATCTTAGGTAAGAATAGATATAATAGTATTAGTACCTTTCTAATAAATATTATATAGAAGGCTAAAGATATTAGGCTCTTTATATTAGATATAACTTAGGAGTATTATATTTATAATATTTAGGGGATAACTTACTATTCTAATATCTATATCTTCCTAGATTAATTAAAGAGCTAGATTCCTTTATAAAGAGAAGGTATTATTAGGATAAATATATAATTATACCTAGACCTGGCAGTGACCCTCCGGGTGGTCCATGACCTTGGACCCTCCGAGGGTCCAGCGACCCGCCAAGACCTAAATTTTGACATAAATATATATAAATCATGGTTTATAAGCATATTATTTCCTAATTAGGATAGGTTATGCATGCATAATTTCCTTGGCGGGTCCAGAATCCGGACTTTAGACCCTCCTTAGTGTCTTGGCGGGTCCAAATGGAGGGTCACTGCCAGGTCTAATTATACCTATAAAGAGAAGTATATAAGTAGTATAACTCTAAGCTAATAGATATTAAATATATAGGTTTATAGATATACCTAGTTAAGTATAAATTTAGCTAGTTTATAACCCTAAAATACTAATAGAAGATACTAGTAATAAAGGCTATTAGATAACTAATAGATAATTACTATATATAGGCTAATATTTAGAATAATTAGTCTATTATATTATAGATATAAAGAATATTTTAACTAACTAAGGTAGTAGATATTATAGAGCTAATATAATAGCTATATCTAATATAGACCTAGTTAGACCTATCTCTATAAAGGGATATTAATAAACCTAGACTTAGTACTACTATTATATCTTTTATTATTTAACTAAATAAATAATACCCCTAATAATAAAGTATAAATTAGTATATAAGAATATAGATATATAAGAGAGATAAATAATAATAATAGGAAGATAAACCCTATATAAATAATAATAGTTAATCTAATAACCCTTATTAAATAGATAACTAATATCTAAGAAAAGATAACTAATATACTACTAATTATTATAATAATAATAAAAATCATCCTAATAATTAATAATAATATAACTATTATAAATTTAATACTATATATCTTAAGAACCCCCCTAATAATCTAGAGGTATTTATATTATATAATATTAATAAAGGGGATAGGATACTAAAAAGTAATAAATATAATACTTATAATACCTATAATAATAAAGATATAGATAATCTAGATAACCTATAAAACTAACTAGATTTTTAGGAAGTAGCCTTTATAAGTATAATACTTATAAGGGGAACTACTTCTAAATCCCTAGCTATAACCTATTAGTACTATAAACTACTATTTATATCTTATAATAAACTATACTTATACCTATAAGAATTAGATTATAGCTATTAATAAGCCTTAGAAGTTATCTAGGCGTTTAATATTATTATTAATAAAGATAGTAATATAAATAGTAATAAAGAGACTAATAAAGATTATAAGCTAATTATAGAATTAAACTAATAATATTATTTATATATACCTAGTTAAGCTTATAAAATATAGAGATATTTATTAACTACTATAAGTCTTTATAAGCCTAATAATAAGTTACCTATCTACCTTAATTTAGGTTATTTAATAACCCTTATTAATAGTACCTTAGCTTATAATTTATATTTATAATACTATAAAATACTAGATATTTTAGTTACTAAGATTAGTTCTAGATATATCTCTCTTACCTATATAAACCTACCTATTTTCTTTTATAATAAATATAATACTACTAAGATTACTATTAAAGTATACTTTATTAATAACCTTATTACTAAATTACTCCTTAATATAGATATTATAAGATATAAGAGCTTCTAGATAGATATAAATATAAAGACTATTTATATTATATTATATATAGGCTTTATATTTACTATTAATATCTATAATAGACCTAATTACTAAGACTATTATATAATATATATAGCTATAACTATAATAATCCCCCTTTAATCTTATATTATAGTTAATA